TCAAGCTGTGCTTTGAGAGGCGGCGATGATAGCGCCCGATGAGCTTCGAGAGGAGCTGAAGGCTCGTCGTTCACAATTCCAGGTGCTGCTTCATCCTCGATCTTTGGCCGGCCCACAACTTTATCAGCTGAAACGATTGTGCCCTGCTTCTCTTCACTATCTGTTACTTCAACGTTTTCTTTCAATGTCTGTTTTCCGAGCGAAAGATGCTTGAGCTTATCGCCTAGATCGTCTTCAAAGTTTGTGGTGTCTTGGAGCTGTCCAGCATCTTGAGACTTCGCAACATCAGTGACGATTTTCTCACCAAAGGACCATGAGTCGGGAGGATCTTGGCTATCAGGAAGGGTATCACTAGAGACATCTCCAGCGTCTGATACGTTGCTTGTCTTTTTCTCTTGCGTTGACGGCGTCGTAGTCCAAGGTGTCTCAGTTTCGGCGACATCGGGCTCTTGCTGTGGAAGCTCGTCCTGCGGGTCGACGTTCTTGACTGGCTCAGTTTCAGTTATATCCTGTGCCTGTTCTGTAGTCGGAGTGGATTCGATGGGCTCTTCGGAAGTTTCGGCAACGTCATCCGGTTCGCGTGTCGCATCGTCTTCGGCATCATCACGATCCCAAGCTGAGGAAGAGTTAAGGTCCTCCAAGGTTCTGGTCTTGTTCTCTTCTTGCTTGTCGCTCATGCCGCCCCGTCCCTTCTTTTTCTTGCTCGAACTGGCTACCCCATCGGCGCCGGAGGCGCCCTTCTTCTTATTCTTGCCTCCCATCTTTCTGATTGCTGACGTTTGCTTAAGAATGAGGCTCAGGTGACTCTTGGTGGAGTTTGATGGAAGTTCTCGTTGAGTGGTGTAGAGTAAAGCAGTGCAGTGTTGAGGTATTGAGTCGAGGGATCGGGGGTTTATATAGGCTAGGGGAGTGGCAGAACGACAGCTACTCAGTCGGTCGGCGCAAGTGCACGCACCTATTGGAGACAGCCACCGGGCACTGCGATACATTGTCCAGCGTGGTTGCGGTAGCGGTGATGAGTGAAATGCAACTGAAGTGAAAGACATTCACAATCGCGCATCGTAGCGTGCGCTGAATATCTTCCAGGCATCGTCAAACCTCTAAGATATGACCTTTTGTAGTGGGACGCACCGAACTTCATGGCTTGGTTTCAAATACTAGAACATTTAGAAGAGTATATACTGCTGCATACTGTGAAACAAGGTGCTTAGGAGATACACCCGCATCGCAATTATATACTGTGTTACTTAACTGCATTGTGCCCGCATTCATGCACCAGACGTTCAACAAAGCAACAATCTTTTGTATGCAAACGAGGAAGCCTGCTAGTCTAGTCTGTATCGTGAGGAAAGTCTTCATTGATGAATCGACCTTTGAAAAGGCCCCAATGCCGCACGATGAGCTCCCTCTTATTATTAGAGAGAAGACACCTCGCACCAAAGACGCGCACATGCTGTGAGCACATGCAGATCTCATTGTAAGGTAAAACTTAAACAGGGCTGCAGGATACGTTGAAGCAACACTTTACAAAGTAGGCAGCCTAACGTTGACGTAGGCTCTACGCGACCTTGTCCTTTGAGAGGCACAGAGGTTGGTGTTACATAGTTTCTCTTGCCTGAATAGTGTACAGTTGGAAAGTTGCCACCCTTCAGTCGCTGATGGTGTTGTCACCGGTGAATGGCTTAAACCAATTTTGTATGCTAGTAACATGTTGAAACATATCTGCGGTGGCGAGAGAAGTTGTGAGTCCACGGATTGCTGCGAGGTCGGCTAGAGTGAATTAGATTTGCGATTGCGCACGAACGAATACAAACTGGTAGCAGAACATACATTTCTCAGACTTCGTTCAGCATAGGCCAATAACTTTCCGTGTCCTCATCCCATGGGCGCGAAAGTTTCTGTATCGAATTTATCCTCGGTATCGCATCTAAAACGTCCACCAATGCTTCGCGAGGCAAGCGATTGAAGTCTGGCCTTCGATCCTCGTCCTGAAGGGTAGCATATGCACACATGTCCGCGGCTAACGCCCTGATGGGCGAGCTTTCGGGTGTGCCACGGTAAAGAACACGTATAGCCTCCTCAGAAGGAAAATCTGGTATACAGAGAATTCTCCGGTCCGGTGGCTTATCTGCGACATCATAACTATCGTTTTGAACACCAGCCATGGTGTTAAGAACAGTCTGCTGGTAATGTCAGTCCAGTATCTGCTCACCAAACACGTATGCGGTCGCAAGGTCGATCCAAACTGGATTGTTTTCCTCGCCATCTTCGAAGGTTCGATAGAGATCGAAGCACCTGGCTGGTACTTTTCCAGAGTACAACCAGTGTGCGTAGGTTTCAACATCTTTTACTGTGTAAGCGGGTAGCTCAATATGATCCGGCCTCTCCCGCATGGCCGCCCATTCAGGCTTCAGGGCTCGGGCGAAGAATTCAGAAGTTCTTGTAAGAATATCTTGATGGACTTGGATCGACACAGCCTCGTGCGCTGGTCCGATCACGAGCGTGATCATGGGTCCTCTCAGACTAGGCCATTCTAGTTAGTTCTGTCTACACATCCCTTTACAGACAAACTTGCCGGAAAGTCTTCGACACTTGAATGCGCGCGTTCGTAGGCTGTGAGATACCATCGCCGCTCTGTGTGATTTCGATGTCGTCATCAGCATCGGTGTGATCTTGCACCATGCTTTCGGCATCGTCAGTCAGATCCATGACTTTTGTCGCGTTCCGAGGGTGACAGCCTGGCGTATCGTCGCTGGTAAGATGCGCACTTGGGTGTGCAATTGCGCGGGGTCTGGGGCAAGAACGCCATTGAGTAAGCGAGGACCTAGGCCGTGATGGCAAGTGGGCGCAGCCCTCACCAGGGGCGGCAACAATTTGTGTCGCATCCTCAAAAGATTTGTTAGGACTATTTTCTTACTAGAAGTGTACATTGTCCTAGACATTTTATACTCACTGAGTTATAATAGTATGTATGTAGCAAAACCCGGAAATGCAACACGGAATTATGACCACTTCTCGTGCCGTTGCGCGTGTGGACAACGATGTAGTCAACTCTATGGACAGCTAGTACTTGTTCAAGCATACATGAAGAGGCTCTAGAGTAGAACCAAGTAAGCGACAGGGGTGCGTTACAAGCCCGTTCTTCGTATACCGGTGGCTTGCTATCTCATCGCGACGTCTTACCACGCGATGCACAAAGGTATCAAAAAGTAAATGAGCAAAAGCAAATCGTAGGATAGTAAGCAAGCCAGGCCAGGAAGGTTTGTATGCTAGGAAAATAGCAGCACAAGGTGGTGGTACTTTTGGAAAGTGCAAAAGGAGTCATGGGGTACCTAGGTATTGACCTTCTGAGAAGATGGACATTTGTTGTGAACCTTGAAGTATTATTATAGTTTGTGTTTGTGCAGCGCAGTAAGCGGTAATTGTTACAAGATTACAAGTCTTAGTGTCGTGGTGGTGCAAAAAGTTGGGCGGTTGGGTGGCCCCAAAACTCCACCATTTCACCCTCAACCTCAACCACAACCGCGCAAAAAAGATGCCACTGTCTACAGGCATTAAATACAACGTCGCGGACAAGATTCGAACTTAGCGACTCTGTTAGATGGGGCTCTGATGTGTGGTTTGGGTGTATGTACCTTGCGAGGCCGAAGCCATTAGATGACTGAATGAAGAATTCAAGTCTAACCCATTAACCACTCTGGCACCGCGACTGATGGTTTGATAAGGAATTTTGCATTTGATGCATCTATGATTAGGATGAGTTGTGCTAGGTTCGCACTGCGGAATGATTTGGGTCTTCGTACATGAACTTGGGCGTGGTGGGGCGCAGTTAAGTCACTTGGGCGCTTATCAGAATTTAGCCATGTCAAACTATGTGTCATTGGAACATCTAAAGACTACTCTTCCCACTAAGTACCCACAGTTTGTCACCGCCCACCTTGCCCTCCTGCTTCAGCTTGTCGAGAATCTGGCGTATCCCCCTCTCCGCCGGTTCCCAGAGATTCTCAGGGTACTCCTTGTATATTACCTTCACAATATCCATAGAACCCATGCCTTGACTCTCCGCAAGTACATCCAACACCTGTTTCTCACGCTGCTTGCGGTGTTTTATATACTCAGTGATTTTTGATGGGCCATCTTCGATGACAGGCCCATGACCGGGATATGCGCGACCTCTAAACTGCGTCGACATGGCGTCGAGGCTCTTCATGTACGCTGCCAGATCTTCGAATACGGCTGTGCCCTGACCCAATACGTTGTCCGCCGTGAACATGGCATCTTCTTCCTCCAACACGAAAGCTGTGTGGTCTGTGGTATGTCCCGGGCAGAAGAAGGCACGTAGGGTTGCGCCTTCCGTCTCGAACTTCTGCCCATCACTTATCGCGAGCCAGTCGTCGCGCGGATCGTTCTTGTAGACCTTCGTGTCGGGAGAGTGCGCGAGTAGGTCGGGGACGCCTTGGATATGATCGTGGTGCCAGTGCGTCAATAGCACTTTATCGATGGCGATGTTCTCCTTTGAAAGGAGCGCTTTGATCGAGGCAATCCATTGTGGTTTGCCTTCGCCAGTGTCAATGAGCAGTCGTGATGCGCCACGACCAACTATGTACGTGTTCGTGCCTAATTTACTTAGAACATATTGACCGTAATATTGCAACCGCATGTACCTTGCAGCGTGAACTTGAGCTTTGTCAGATCGCGCCGTCCCTTAGATGATAACGGCGCTCACCTTGCTGGGGTTGCCGCCCAGAACCCTGATAACCCGATCGCTGACCTGCTCAACCTCTGGAAGCGATACCAAAGATTCTGCCATCTTTGAGTAGAGTGCGCGTGTGCTAGAGGTAGCTGACGGCCATCGCAATCGCGGGCGCATGGTCGCTCCCTCAGGTTACAGCTGGACCAGCACAGCCGAGGCACATTGTTATCGATAGTGGGATACGACGCAACCAAACTATCACTTTTCAGGTACACTGTGCGGCAACCTGCCTTGGGCCAAACTCAACATGGCGCCAATCGAAGACGACGATGAGATGCCGTAGGTCTTACTAGCTGATCGCAGCCCAGATGCTAACAGATGAAGACAGCTCTCCGGCGATGCTCTTGCCGCGCTGAAAGAATTTTATGGCGAGCGGGATGCACGACAAAAGCAGTTTGAAGAACTAAAAGGCCAAGCCGAGGATGACTTCGAAGGGAAGTTGTCCATGGACGCCTTCACGGAAGACTGGAATGCAAGTCAATTTTGGTATAGCGACGAGACCGCTATGGTGCTTGCGCGACAGCTTCTGGATGGTGCGACAGATGAGACAAGGATAGCAGTCGTGTCTGCGCCGAGTGCTTTCATCCAGTTGAAAAATCTACTGGTAAGTGATCTGGAAGCGCAAGAGGAGAAAAGCTGACTTCGTTAGAACTCGGGTGAAGTCAAGTGCCGGCCGCAGATCAAATTGCTGGAGTTTGACGAGCGCTTTGCCGTCTTCAAAGAGTTCGTGCGCTACGACTTCGAGAAGGCGATCCAACTACCAGCTGAGATGAAGGCCTCATTCGATGTCATCATTTGCGACCCGCCATTTCTAAGTCAAGATTGTCAAACTAAAGGTACTTTCATGATATGTCTCCAACAACCGTAGGTTCGATGTCGCTAACACAACATAGCTGCTTTGACCGTGCGATGGCTAGCGAAGTCATGGACGCAAGATTCACTGCGTCTCATTGTCTGCACTGGCGAGCGTATGGAAAGCCTGGTTACAGACAAATTATACGGGAAAGTAGGAACCAAGACGACTGATTACGAGATCAAGCACGCCAAAGGACTGAGCAACGAGTTTAGATGCTATGCGAACTTTGAGTGCCCATCGTGGAAGTGGGCAAAGTCATGACCCGCGAGAACATAGGGTAGCTATACTTGAGAGGATGAATGCTTCTACAACCAGTGCAGTAGTGTTCATGAGCATACGATCGTGATTGGAATATACATGTGAAGCACGGCGGAACCGTCCCGCTAAACAGCTACCCCACATGTCCCTCGGTCAACCCCACTTCGCTCTCAAAGCATAAGCTCGCTGCGTCATCTTCATTCACCAACCAGACCCGTACCAACCAACCAACTATCCATTCTACGAGTACCACAATGTCCTCCGCTGCATGCATCTTCTGCAAGATCATCAAGGGTAACAACCTCTTAGCTTGGCTATTCTCTCAATCGACAATGGCTCACAGAAGGACCAGGCGAGATCCCTTCGATGAAGATCTTCGAGAGCGAGAAGACACTTGCTTTCCTTGACATCGGTCCTTTGAGCAAAGGCCACTCTGTATGCTTTCTAGTCCCTCCAGTATCAACCAGCCAAAACTAACGTGCCGCCTAGCTGATCATCCCCAAACACCACGGCGCAAAGCTCCACGACATTCCCGACGACCAGCTCGCCGAAGTCCTCTCCGTCACGAAGCGAATTGCTATCGCGCAGAACATCCAAGACTACAACATCCTACAGAACAATGGAAGGATTGCCCACCAGGTCGTGGATCACGTACACTTCCACCTAATCCCAAAGCCGAACCAACAGGAGGGTCTCGGGATTGAGTGGCCAACTAAGGAAGCGGACAAGAGCGAATTGAGCAAGCTGCTGGAGGAGATCAAGAGCAAGATGTGAAGCAGCGTGTATCGCACTCGTACAGGGCATCAATGAAGCATGTTGACTCAGGCCAGAGGCGCATATCTCAGCACTTGACCAGCGCCACTAACATTCGATTATTCTCCCTTGAACACGGGTTTCCTCTTCTCCTTGAACGCGACAAGCGCCTCATCCCTATCCTTTGTCCTGACCACAAGCTCATATGCAGCATTCTCAGCCTTCTCGCCCAACGCGCATCCTTCAACCGCTTGAAGCGCGGCCTTGATCGCTATCGGTCCACCTTCACATATCTCCCTTGCTAGTCTAATCGCTTCGTTCAAGACCTTCTTCCGCGCAGCCCCTTCTTGTTGTACATCCTCTGCCGTGATTTCTACTAACCGGTCGCACAGCCCCAGGAAGTAGGCTTCTGGCGCTCCAACACGGCGGCCTGTCAAGATCATGTCTCGTGCGCGCGAGAGGCCGATCAAAGCGGGCAGACGATATGTTCCTCCCGCGCCAGGAAGGATGGCAAGACGCGTCTCGGGGAGGGCGACGGTAGTGGTAGAAGCGAAGACGCGCATGTGTGTGGTGAGGGCTAGCTCGAGGCCGCCGCCGAAAGCCGGTGCTGCCAAAGCAGAGATTGTGGGGATGGGTAATTGCGATATCGACGCGAATGTTCCTCGTAGTGTGGTTAAGAAGTTGGATGTGCTGCCATCCGTTAGCTGTCGCTCGTCTCATGTGACCGTTATGATACTAGACATACTCTTCCTGGGTAAACGTAGCCCTCTCCTTGAGGTCCGCGCCCGCGCAGAAACTTGTCTCTATATCGCTCGCCAATATCAACGCCCGCGTTGATCCCTGGTCCCCCTCATTGTGTAGGCTGTTCACTTGTTGCGTCAGCTCTGTGAGCAGTTGCCGTGATATCGCATTGCGTGCCGCGGGCCGGTTGAGCGAGAGTATTCGTATGCTTCCGCAGTGTGGTGCTGGGACGTTTGTGACGTTTATAGCCGGGGCTTGGGCAGTTGCATAGCCGCGAATTCCAACGGCGCGGTGTAGGACGCGGGGGTTGAGGCGGAGGAGCGGCATTTCGATCGTATCTAAGATGTTTTTGTGCGACTGCAATGGTTCTGTAGTCTTTTCGCCCAGAGGTATTCAAGTCTGGAGCTGTAGCGTCGACGTTGTGCGCGGCGTGTTTGGCGACCTCATCGCTGATAGACCGCAGTTAGCCGAGGCACCGCGACGGCACAGCTTTTGATTTGGTCAATCGTCGTTCCTGGCGCGACACCAAATATTCAACCAGAGAACACAAGTCTGCCGGCACGATGAAGACTTGGTACGCCTCTCACGCATTACTTATTGATCGTATTTGGGAGTGTTGCGGTATATTTCCGACAGTGCTTGATGTTTACACTTGTTCCTAGCTATGTTCAGGCGCATGTATTCAAGCTTTCAGTTCCGAGGACGGCTGGAGCAGTCGACGCAGACCTATACTATCCGCAAACCGACATTGAGCCTGTTAATATTCGTGAGCAGACACAAATTATCAAGAGCAATATCGCCCTCACCTTGGCTTCTAGATTAGTCGTCTCAGCCATTACACATCATCAATCGAGACGACGAGAGCAGCGACTTTCGTGTAACGAATTGAGCATAAGACAACTCTTTTCCGTTCTCTACTCCAGTCCCCATATAGCTGTTTTTGGTTCAGACACATTGAGAAGGTATTGTTCCGATCGTTGTAGTTGATCAATCTGTTTGGAAATCCAAAGTCTACCCTGTACCCAGGTGGAAGGCAAGCATGCCATCAGGGACGAAAGACATGCAGATGCAAGGCGAAGTCGAACAAACATTCGTGGAACCCAGAGTTCCCTTGTCATTCTATCGTGATGTCGCAACTACACTAGGGTCTTGTGCAAGGATAGCCATTGCTACTTTCTGCTAAGCAGGGACACTCTTGACTCAGCGCAGCTTGAAAACAGAACCTGGGTACCAGTAACTGTCAAGTACAAAGCTATCGAATGTCAAATCTCGTAAATTACCGAGAAGTCATGAGTGCAAGCCCTGACCAGTTCGTGTCACTGCTGAAGGGAAGGACATTCCCTGTATGGATGCCCGGTTATCCATCTGCGCACACTTACGAATCCAAGTCACGTTCTCATCCTGGTACTCGGAGCCCAGCTTCATACACACTCAACCAGTTCGTACTTCGTATTCTAGGCCCAGAGCCTCCCGCTGGGTCATCAACTCCTGCACCGTTACGTATGTAGTGCACCCTACATGGACACACCCGTAGACCTGGGCAATTGCAATGCAGCATCCGCACCTATGAACGGCTCTCGGCAACCGCGATGCGAGGTTTTTATCCTGTCAACAACTCGACCTGACGATCTAAGCCCGACTTGAGGCACAACTTCGGCCCAGGACGTTTGCGGGGAAGTGACTTGTGGAGCTCCGGAGCGATCGCCATGTCACGATGCTGGGGTTCCCAAGGGTGCATTCCTTCTGCTGGCTTAGCGCCTACCGAATACCTCCACTGGGTCCGACGCTTGCTCCATGCACCGAAAATTTCTGTTACCCATGAGCCTCGTGACGATGCCTACCGATGCCTCTCGGGACTTTTCGTCGGCAACACACAAAATCCAAGATCTCGCCCCGCTTTAGGATAAACAGACAAGCTTGGAGGCGTGGAGCTTAGTCGTGTACTGTCGTATTTCGCGCACTTCCCCATACGCGCGAGTCGTGATGGAAGGTGTACCGGTATTCTGCGGAGATTGTTTCGTGGAACGTTGTTCGATCAAACTGCCAGTACCAGAGCTGTGGTTCACGGCACGTGGATGTACGCAGTAGCAGCATCATCCAGGATTCGTCCCCAGGAAGCTAACCCTGCCAGTTCGACTGCAGCAGCAATGCAAGGCGACTCTCAGTCGCGAGTCATGAGCCAACCTCACGATCCCCGCAAATCATCGCGAGTCAATGTTCCCGGCTCCGACCTCTTCGTTTTCTACTCCACAACCATCTGCCGACGCGCATGCACACGTCCGACCGCCCGCTTGGCAACCGCTACGCAGCCTTGAGATGACGTCGTGCGCCTTAATACCAGGACAACACTGGTATGGTACGGAGATGTGGAGACTCCGCAACCCGCACGGGCAAACTTCGGGACATGGTGGTGGCTGCCACATCGGCTTCTAGCCTTTTGATCGGGACGAGGACTGCCACCGGGCGGACGAGCATGCGCCGAGAGAAGAGCAGTATATAAGTACTGCTGTGCACAAAGATGATGGTCATCCAGGCACTCGATTCACCTTCGACAATCCAGAATCATGGCACCTTCCCTTGTCTCGGCCGTACTTTCGGGCTCTGTCCTCCTGGCAGCAGTCAATGCTCAGAACTTCGAAGGCGGTGGCCGCGATGAAGATGCGTTTGAGTACGTACAGCCGCTCAACACCACCATCTTGACCGAGTATGGCTCCTCACCAGCTGTCTACCCGTCGCGTAAGTTATCCTACATCACCAACCTCGCTCGTGACCAATCTAATGCTCTGCAGCAAACATCACCGGCGCTGGTGGCTGGGAGATGGGTCTTGAGAAGGCGAAAGCTTTCGTAGCCCAGCTCACACTTGAGGAGAAGGCTGACATGGTCACTGGTCAAGCCGGACCTTGCGTTGGCAACATTGTTGCTATCCCTCGTCTTGGCTTCCCCGGTCTGTGTCTTCAGGATGGTCCTCTTGGAATTCGTGTTGCAGACTACGCCAGCGTCTTCTCCGCTGGTGTCTCTGCCGGAGCGACATGGGACAAGGACATCATGTACGAGCGTGGTCATGCCATGGGCGCAGAGTTCAAGGCCAAGGGCTCTCAGGTCTTCTTGGGTCCCGTCGCTGGTCCTCTCGGACGTTCCGCCTATGCAGGCCGTAACTGGGAGGGATTCTCCTCTGACCCTTACCTCAGTGGTGTGGCAATGGAGAAGACCATCAACGGTATCCAGGATGCCGGTGTGCAAGCCTGCGCAAAGCACTGGATTGGCAATGAGCAAGAGATCATGCGAAACCCGCTTTACGAAGACGAGAACGACAACACCGAGCAGACGACGGCGGCTCTCTCTTCCAACATCGACGACCGCACCATGCACGAGCTTTACATGTGGCCCTTTGCCAATGCTGCCAAGGCCCGCGCTGCCAGCTTCATGTGCTCTTACCAGCGCATCAACGGCTCTTACGGATGCCAGAACTCCGCCTCGCAGAACGGTCTGCTTAAGACTGAGCTTGGCT